ACACACACACACACACACACACACACACACACACACACACACACACACACACCATACACACACACACACACACACACACACGAAGAGGGACCCCCTGCCAAAGAGGTTCCAACTGGTCTTCCGCCTGTCGTATGCCTCCTTCCGCGGGTCGGGCGGTGTTACTGCTCGATGACGGTCTCTCTTGACTTCCCAATTTAGTGAGTTGTTGTTGGTCTACTGTTGCTTGGTTGGGCATCTCCGGCAGCGTGAGGAGTGCTTGCGCACGGCATGTCCCTGGAATTTGAAGAACACCCCCATCCTTCTTCCGCAGCCTCCGCTTCGGTGAGGGGCTCCGCTCCGATTCAGAGGGTGGGTCATCCACCTTTTGTTTCCGTTTGCCTTTGACACCCTCCCTCGTAGCCCTTTCCGATTTTCTCTATCGCGGCTGTTTCCCTCTCCCCCCTCCCGTCTCCCTCGTGTTGTCCGCCCTCTGTTGCAACTGTCTTTCCTCTTCCGAGTCCGGGACTATTTCCTCCTGCGCTGCTTCATGCCGGTGCCCCAATCCCCTCTCTTGTTTATGTGAAATATCCCCCGCATCCTCCGTTGTGAGGTGAGGCGGCGGCGTCTTCCTACTTCCCGATTTAAGCCTTCTGCATTGTGTTCCTCAGTCCCCCATGTTCCACCTCCAACCGCCGCCTCCCCCCGCCTCTGTGTTTTGTCGGGATCATGGCTTTGCTGTTTATGTATCCCCTCCCGTTGGAGAAGCCGCTTCGTTCCTGTCCCTGCCAGGCCACTTTGTAAGTTCCTCTCTCTCATCATGGGCTGTCTTGTCTCCCCGTCTCCTTTGTCATCTTGTCCCCCTCCTCGCTCTTTGTCTCGATTTTCGTCCTCATCGGGTGCAAAGTGTTCACACTTAGACGTGGACGGCCTAGTCTTGGGGCGGGGGTATGGCTACGACAGGATCAACCAGACAACAGTGTAATAAGCAGCCACGAAGAATGTCGACGGAAAGCACAACGGCAAAATAACTTCCAAGAGTAGGAGCACAACATGGCGATCACCATCACGGCGAGCATGGTTGGTGAAAAGCTATGGCTACGAGTACCAACATCACAATTTTTTCGAATAACTGCACGACTTCCACTTAGCACGATACGTTCCTCATGCTGTTCGAAGTTGATTGTCACTCCGGTCAGACACTAACGACCCAAAACCGCTCGAGCAACTACGAGTCAAACGAGAGAGCCGCGATAGCTTGGTGGAGAGATGTACAACGCTCAAGATAAGAGCGGGGGATATGGCCCAGATGAAGAGGAAAGTCGTGGGCCACGAGTATGACTAGGAGAATCTAGCTCTGCTCCTCACCTACTGCACAAGTGAGGACGAACCTACCGTAGGAGCACGGGCGGATGCACTGTCCTCCTGTTATGCACACAGCGATAGAGGTTGTTGCCTTTGTCAGTGAGATAGCAGAATCAGGTTAAATCTTCCGCCGGAACGCGGGTAGGTTCATTAGCACCTCTTTAACCCTTCCCTCGTGCCGCGGCCCCTGCTGTTTACCTCACTTAGTCTTCCATTCAGACCCAAGATCTGGCGCGCTCTTCCTCTTCACAATGCCCCGAATCCTAGAGATAAACACTTGGTCCGCCCAAATCGATCGAATCATGACTGAGATACAACAAGTTGACTCTCTCTCGTTCCTCTTCGAGTCTTCCTCGCAGCCCTACCTTTCCTCATCTCTTGCCCCACTAACCTACATCTCAAACTACCAACGGATTCGGATTCGCAATGATCGAACACCCTCGACCCATGCTATGGTTCACTCGATTTCATAGAGAATCAAGCGAAACCTTGATTCCTACTTCCGCCATATCCGACACCCCACTACCTCCGCGCACTCTATTCCCTCTCTACCTCCTCATACACACCTCCTACTGCCAAACTAACTCCATCAATCGATCCATCCTACCACAAATAAAAAAAACTCGGAATCACTCATTTCCCCACTCAATTCCACTAAAGATCGGACAGATTGTCTATCCCTTGCTCCCTCGTCTCGGATCTTGGTTCTACCCGGCACGATCACCCGTCTAAGTTCCTCCTCCCCTCAAAACTTTCCCTCAACTGCACCGTCCCTCTTGTATGTATTTAGCATGCCCCTCCCCCCTCGCATTCGAGTTCGTCCCCTCCTCCCGCGTTCCTTTCTCTTCTCCGTCTTCGCACGCACTCAGCACGATCCGTTATTTGGATTCGCTCCTCCTCGTTGCGTTGACGCCAACTTTCTCTTCCTCCTTACATCCTTGTCCCTAGTCGGTCTGACCGACGCGCACGGCGAAGCGAATGCGAGAGCAAAAAAAAACTACTCAGACCCTTCCTGAATTTATGTGTGTCACCTTTGTGCAGGGGCCATGCTAATCTTCTCTGTATCGTTCCAAGTTTAACGAATGTCCTGAAGGACTCACCAGGGCAGTGCCCACAATACTATCGAAAGGGCACACGACCCCTGAATCCGAACTTAAATCTGTATCTTTACGACCCATGGATACGTTAAACCGAGCTAAACTGGTTGGTGCGAACACTGGTATGATGGTATCGACAACAGATGGTGGCCACAAAGACCGAAGTTCGCTAGGGGACACGACCTCCGCCGTTGTCGTCAGGGTGTCCTCGACGTGAGTCAAGGCGTTGCCCAATGCCGGACACGGCCTCGGGATGAAGTAGTGTTTGACGGCCTTGAAACCCATTTGAATGTTTGGGACGGATGTCAAGCGTTGGTACTCAGCAATCCATTCAACACTCGGCAGCCTGCCTTGTTCGAAGGTCATCAGCTTGTCCATTGCCTTGATCTTCTGTGGCTCTACTTGGAACTGCTTATGCCACGCCGCCTTTAGATCATCCCAGTTGATCTTGGTGTACAAGTCGGCAACTACCATTCTATACTTGGACAAGAAATTGTCCAACCATGCTTGGCACGCGCCCCCCGAACGGGAGTATAAGTACGCGTGGTGCTTGTGTTCGCTGACGTGGTCGAGCTGCAACTTGAGCTCGAACTTGCGGAACCATGGAATCGGGTCCGTCTTCGTCGAGTCGCAGAAGATCTCATGATCATCGAACCTTGGAGTCGTCTCGCGCGGTTCCGAGCTTGAGTGGGTGGCGGCAATACAGATCCGCTGCTCCAACTGTTGCGTTGCAGTTTGCTGTAACTGCACACTGTCCTTGAGGGCTCCGACGTCGATCTCCAATGCATTGAGGCGATCGGAGGTGTTGGAGGAGCTGGCATGGGGGGCGGCGAGGGGTCGTTGCTCCAGCTGTTCGAGGCGGCTGTTGACTCGGTTAAAAACCTGATTGCTCGTCTGAACCGCGTCGTCGAGGTTGTGGATGTCCTCCTGATGTGCAATGCACGTGGCCAGGAGGTCCGTGAGATGGGAGAGGAGTAGAGCGATCTTGTTTTCACTCTCTTCTATCTTACCATTCTCGGCCTCGGCCCGCCAGTCCGCTGCCATCGCGAGCAAAGCTCGCTCTCCGTTGAATATCTTCTCGCGTCGTTGAATTCGTTCTTCATCGGCAGCCTTTGCTGCTGCCTCGTCTTGCTGACGCTGCTGTTCGATTGCCAACAGACGTGCCTTCTTGGCGTCCTCTGCCTTCTTCTTTGCTGCGGCTGCTACTGCATCCGACCATTGCTTGGCTTCGGTAATCAGAAGCAGCATCCGGGCCTGATAGGCCTCGTCCGTTTCCCCGGACTTTTGGTCCATGACGGCTGTTTGCGAGCTCGTGAGCATAGACCAGGCCAGGGGCCTGCTGACGTGTCCTGCTGATGTGTCCTGCTGCCGTGGTCTGCTGAAGTGGCCTGCTGACATGGTCTGCTGACGTGGCCTGCTGACGTGGCCTGCTGACGTGGCCTGCTGACGTGGTCTGCTGACGTGGCAACTTACCAATGCCGCCGCAGGGGGTACCTGGAGACCGATAGAGAAGATAAGACCAGAGGGGGCAACAACATAGGTGGGGAGGGGTGGGTGGGATAAATCGCCCAGATAAGGAGCCACTAAGCAAAAAAAGAAAAGTTTGAACTTCGCAAATTTTTTTTGAGAAAAAGGAAAAAAGTACTCGTTTGCAAGTTCAGTACGCCTCCCAATTCCCCCTGAAGTGCGAAATTACGAATGAGGAAAAAATTTCGAACTTCCAGACTGCAAATGATTATCCGATAAGAGAATTTCGAAAATAAGATAATATAAAAATATTCGGAATTACTCAGATGAGAGTACGCGCAGTCTGGAAAATGGTAACTGCAAGAGGGATTTCCCGTACCATTTTCAAATCTCGAAGAACGAATTTTGGAAATGACAGAAAAAATATTCCGGATTTCCAAATAACAGGAATTTGCAAAAGGAAATCAAAATTTTCGAAAAAAAGATATCCCGGATTTCCAACAACGAAATTTTGAATTTTCATAAGAAAAAACGAAAACTGAAATTTCAGGTGTTGTGCTATTGCGATTTTCCACAACAGAAATAGCGGGAAAACAAAATCCAAGAAAAGAAAAAAAATTCAATTTTCGGCAGTGAGGTCAAAATCGTGATTTTGGGGGCTAATTAGTGTGCTCTAATCAATCAATCAATCAATCAATCAATCAATCAATCAATCAAGACTACTCAACTAACTAGTCTCCGCACACGTGTGAGATCAGGCTGTCCTAATTCACGTGCGGTGTTCTGATACCAACTGTTACATACCCAGTCGGGCGATGTACATATATAACCGAGGATCCGCAATGTGACGAAAAGGACTGAATGGACAATGCAGTGCAAGTGAAATCTCAATAAGCAGTGTACATCCTGATACATACAAAAATGGTGCTTTATAGCGCAGTGGAAGACTTAGATACAAGTCCTGACCTGACCGGGACTGACCTCTCTCACGTAGTACAAGACAGCGCAGCAGAATGCTAGAATACCAATGACTAGCCCAATCAATGTCGCAGTACAGACCAAACATACATCATCCTCATCACAAGGTGTGAAGGGGCCTGGCGCTACACACAGGAAGAATGCGCCAGGTCCAGTCCATACACAGACGAAGAGGAGGGTAGCAGACGAAGAAGAAGGGGGAAGATGGGAATGTCGTCAACACGAAGTCTTCGGTACAAGTCCCAGATAATCCCTCGTCAAATGTCTGAAGCCCAATGTCGCGTCTGGATCCAAATGTCACCAAGCCCGCTCTCTCATAGTCTGCTGATGCAGTGAAGTCAGGTAGCGAGAGGGTGAGAGGGAGATCGTGGACTGAGAAGAGGAAGAAGAAGAACTCTCTCTCTCTCATGTGCCAGGTACTAACCTGTGAAGATGGCGCCGTGCTGCAGGTACCTCGAAGGCGAAGCTGGAGCTATGGCGCTGCAGGTAAGTCTCCCTGGCCTCCGCCCAATCTCTCTCTCTCTAGTACTACTCTAGCTCCTAATAGCGCCCAACGCTGAAGACTACTGCTAACGCTACTACAACTCCTGCAGCACTCCTCCAGAGTGCTGCTGCCGAATCCTGAATACTACCTCCTCCTCCTGAACTGCACGTGAAGTGCCTGGGAAGTACCTAGGAACTACCTGCAGCCTGCAGGGCGGGCCAGTCTTATATAGTGCTGGCCCGTCCAGGAGGCTGCTCTTGCCAATGCCAAAACGTGCCAGACCCTGGCGTTGAAGCTCAAACAAGGGTTGTCTTGAAAACAGGCCCAAAATGGCCTGTGTTAAAACCCTGGTCTGGTGCCTAAGTTTTAGG